AATTTAATTTAGGTTACTAAAACATGCAAAAACAGAAGCATTTTGTTTGTTTGTTTGTTTATAGAACTCTTCATTATTTTTCTCTCAAGGAAAAATTTATTTTTTTAAATCTTTCAAGAAACAACATGAAAAATAATGAAAAAAAATAAGTTTTCAGCTCTAGCTTCCTAACAGTATCATCACAGAGCTAAGCCTAAACCTAAACATAATGAATGAACAGATCATGGCCAAAGCACCTTAATTTTGGATGCACACAACAGGTGACTTTGGTATACAGCTAACATTTAAAAACCACTAAACTGGAGAATAATTCCATTTAAAATATATATAAATCTAGAAAGTGCAGACAAGAAAATATTACATTTGAGCAACTAATTCTGAAGAACATAAGGTGGTTGCATTTACCTATCAATCAATAAACAAAAAATAGAATTTAAAAGAGGACTTTTGAGTTTCTCTCTTATAATTAAATGATAAAAGACAGAATAGTTTACTAAAGCATTCAGATATTTAGATGAAAACCACTATAAAGAATATGGCCACTGCATAATTCAGGTACAATAAAGTTCTACCAGGATCTCTGAACTCTACAAACTAAAAAAAGTTAAGTTATAAGAGTTCAAGTAGTAACTGTAATAATCTGTCGACCTTAAAAGTGCTCAAGATTTTAATTGCAATACACAAACTTCAGCCATGATCAGACTAAGTCTTCCTGATATTATACAAAATTCTAACAGATTTGTTTGGTATGCAAGCCTGTGATAAAATGAAAAGGGTGGTGAAACTGCTAGAGAAGCAAGCTAGTCAAGGAAGAACAAACACACTACTGAAAAGCAGTCACTCAGAAAGCATAGCAGACACTTAATAGTTTTTAAAGGCAGCAGAATATAACTTTTCTAATGATCACTGGATTCAGTAAGAAAAAAGAAAAAACATGTTCCCCATACCTTACATAATACATGCATTATATGTATTTTGTTTAAAAAGTAAAATAAAGTCACCTATAAAGTATCTTATTAAATTTAAGTGAAAAAATCCTTAGTTTAATAAAAACTCAAAACGTAAGCCTTTCACTGTACAAAGGGACTAGTGAAGATAAACAAAAAGATAAGAGCATCAGATAAGAACATACTTTGCTAAGACACAAAAAACAGAGCAGACAATGAAGTTTTAAATTAGTGTTATCAGAAGTAATATTTTTCATTGCAAAGGTCAATATATTCAGTTAAAGTAAATGGCCTAATCAAACTATTTTCTAGCAATTTAAACTTAAGTAATCTTTACTTTTGTAACTTCTTCCTCATCTGAAAAATGAGGATAAGAAAACCTGACTTCATAGAGTTACGGAAAACACAAGAGATAATGTAAGGAAATCCTGGATACACCGGCTGACACACAGTACATTAGAAATAAATGTTAGCTGCTACTTTTAATTTGTGCTCAGAATAAATACCCTAAAGTTGATACTCAACTTTTACCAAAGGAAGATAAATTTTAGAAGTGTTCCCACTTGAAATCATCTATAGTTGATAAAGAATTCTGTCTGAATTCTATTATTCATCCCAACCCCAAAAAGATCTATAAGGTATTACACAGGAACCAAGTTGCTTTATTTTTCTCCATTAAGCCTCACATATTATTAAAAACTTCAGGTGAAGTTCATTCTAATTCCAAAGAAGACTTCATATTCTAATAAATATCCTTTTCCAGATAAGCTCATTTATCCCTCTTGCTTCTAAAAGTTTGAACGCAAAAGTCAAGACATTTGTCAAAATGTATGAGTACAAATTTATAAGACAACTTCAGTTTAGACGTTAACAGAGTTAAAGATAAATATTCTAAATTCGAGCCACTGCACATAATTAGAAAAGAATACATATTGCAGACATTTTATTCAGTTATATTAATTTTATTACTGTTCATTTTTATTATTAGTTATTATTTTCACTTATGTTTATTAAGGTTAGTGTCTATCTGGCTTTCGCTGATGGGTATATTAATAGAAATATTGCCTAAATATGAGAATACAAAAGCAAGCTTCATGCTTTTCCTCATAATCATCCATTACAAGCATTTACTTGCTATGTGTAAGCTATTATGCTAGAAATTGTGTAAAACGTAAAAACAAAAATTTGTTGCAGTCCGCAAGATGCTTGTGACCTCAGTACTGACAGGTATCTATCAATCTTGTGCTAAAACCTGCTTATTTGTAAGTGTGTGTGTATATGTGAATAGCCAGCATAAAGACAGTGTAGGTTGTCTGGCTGAAGTATCCAATAATCCAAATATCTTTGTGGCTTACAACAAAGATTTATTTCTCACCCAATTTACATTTAACATGAGGCCTAAGAATCAGTTTCTTCTTTGGTCCATGTTATCTTCACTCCAATCTGTACTAAAAGAGCAGACCCCACCTGGAATATGACCATTTTGCAGCAAAGAGAAAAAGAACATGGTAAAATATGGGAGAGTTCCTAAAGCTAAAGATCTAGTCTCAACTGAGTCCAAGTATTCAGTCTGCCATGGCATATCATTACTATTGGCCAAGGTGAGTCCCCTTGGTCAAGGATTAGAGATGTCTGATTCTGTAACAGGGAAAGGTAGTAAACAGTAATAATGCAATCTATTACAATATTCATCACCAAGATTAAAGAAAAGAAATATATTCAGGTTATTCAAACCAATAATAAAATTAGCATTCATTTAAAGATTTACTATGTGCCAGACACTATTCTAATGTTTACATGTATTACAAAATTTAATTTACCTAAGAATCCAGCATAGATGTCGCTACTGATGAAAACAGTTATGAGCATTTTATAATGAGGAAAACAAGCAAAACAAAGACACATATTAGAAGATACTTCAGAAATATTTCAAGTTCTCAAAAATTGTCTTTGATATACCTTTGATAGCAAAGGTAGCTAACTGCCACTCAAGACAAGAATCTATCCAGCTTCACTGAAGAAGAGACCAACCTATTGGTCTTAGATGTCCTAGTTGTCTCTCACATTTGGGGTGAGTATGCTTCCCAGCAAGGTTCGATATACACAGAACTAATTTCAACCTCAGGACTGTTTTCTCACTGGAGATCTCTATAGACTCAATTTCATCCTGAGAAATAAAGCAACAGAATAATGCTCTACAAAGAGGTCTCATACACTTAGTTCTCATCACAGCCATTAATTAACACTCATGAGGATCTACCATGCTAAGAGCTATTTGAGGTAAATACAAAATCTAGTCTAAATTGAGAAGTGATGATATAGGGCTATATGAGATAAATATGCACAAACACATTAAAATGAATAAATAACACCACTTCATCAAATATTCTGAGTCCCAAGACCTGCTACTTTGAAAGCAAGTGTCAACTTATCTGCTGATAGATTAATAGCTTTGATACTCAAATTTAGTCTGGAAAGCCCCTTGGGAAAGTAAGAATAAATGTAGATAAGAATAAATGTAGATGATTAATCAGATTTTACCCCCCATCAGGCCCTGTCCAGGGAAATGGAAACTCACTCTATAGTAAGCTCAGCAGATCAGACAAAATCACCCACCATAAACAACTTCTTCTCTTTCATGAGTGTATATGTTATTGGGTTTATTTGTTTTGCTTTTTGGGTTTCACTGATACACCATAATTGAATTCAAATGTTAAGATAGTAGCTAACTGCTTCCTTCCATTGATAGCTCCTTTTCTTCTGTTCCTCCTTCCCTCATTACTACATGCCTTAATGATTCCTCTCATATTTTACTTAAGACATCTGAAATGTTATGCCATTTGCATTTTTAGGATTACAATAAAAATGAAGTTTACGTGTAGATTTCCGCATTACTGAGTTCTCTTTCCAATCAAACATTTCAGGTCCTTTAATCATAATGGAGAAAGAGTCCTTCCAAATAATATGTAAGGGCAAGGAACCATAAATTTCTCTCAAAGTAGGATGCACATTACAAACTCTTTGGGCAAAAAAAAAAAAAAAGTGAATTTTAAAAAAACGAGTGTTAGATTATATTTAAAATTATTTCCCTTGGCTTTTAAGGCTTCAAAAATGTGAAACAAAGGTCTTATATGGTTTAAATTTTATTCCCTTGTTATTTATATAGTGTAACACTAAGTTAATAACTCGAAGAGATCCTGTATTCAATTTTTAATCACCCACATTCCTCTCACCTCCAATTCGGTCTTCTCATGTTCAGCCTAAGCATTAGTGTAGTCTCCAAAGCACGTGGTAGATACTCCATACAAGGCCCTGGTTTGTATTTATACTAACAGGTTATGGGGGATGGGGAAGTGAGAAACCATGTATTTCACGAGTGTACGTATGTGTGCACGGTATCAGTACTATAAAACTTCAGGGAAAAAATTCGGAGAAATATGGGGATGAAAGAAGTAATGCAGTAGAAAAAGGAAATCACCATCACAAAACTGCTGGAAAGCAGTAAGAGAACAGGCCCTAAAGCCCTGAGACCCGTGGTAACCCGGACATCAGCACCAGGCAAGTTCCTAGGACGACCTTGCAGCGCTGGAGATGCAGCTCAAAGGCTGAGCCGGGGCCCCGCCCCAGCACCCACACACACCCCTAAAAGAGGGAAAACCACCTTCCAGTATTACAACAGTGGCATTTTACTGACATGAACTCCTAAAAAGTTTTCCTCCTATGCAGAACGATCATGTCGTGAAGAAACCCAATCAGGACCCATGGCAGCCGTGGAAGGAGACGGGGGTGGGAGGGGGTGTAACCCGCCGGCCGGACCTGGGGCGGCGGGCCACCAGGTGCGAAGGGAAGGGATGCTAACGGTGGGGGAGACCCTAGGAGCTCTCACAGACCCCGCGTCTCGGCCCCGCGACCCCGGCCCGCGCCCCTGAACGCCCTCTCCGAGCCCGGGGTCAAGAGGACGCTCCCCGGGCCTGCCCGGGACCCAGTCGGCAGGAGCTCCTCCAAAGCCAGGGACCAGAGAAGCCTGACGACGAAGCTTGACAGCTCGGTTACCTGGACGGAACTCTGGAAACGGAACTAGCTGCTGTCCCCACTGCCCGTGTCCCCAACAACGCCCGCCTCAGCGCCCCTGACATTGAGGCCGCCGCCATCTTGCCGCGGACGAACGCCGGGATGCGCGGACGGATCCCCGCCGGGGACCAAGTTCCTCCGCCCTCACCGCGCGGCCGCGCCGCGGAGTCGGGCGGAGTCGGGCGGAGTCGGGCGGAGTCGGGCGGAGTCGGGCGGAGTCGGGCGGAGTCGGGCGGACCGCGGGGGATGGGAGAGAGCTGGGAGGTTTGGTTAAAAAGGGGAGAAGGAAAAGGGGTCAGAAGAACAAGGCGGGGGTGTGCAGTGTTTAACCCCTCAAAAAGTAGTCCTGGGTGGTTGGTGGGAGTGGCTATTTACACTAATACTGAAAAGACCAAAAGAATACATAGAAATTGAAACACCTGCAACTCATAATTTTTCAAAGAACTCAAGAATATCTGGGCTGAGCCCACGGGAAGAGCCGGAGGGCTCTTCTGCGTTCCTGAGAAACCAAAGTAGTGCTTTCCCAAAGTGCTGCCAGATTTCTGATGAGACGTTCTTAGCACAGGGCTTTATCCAGTTTGATGTTCTGTAGTCAACAATCATATTTTCCACACGAAAAGTCTGATCTGCAAAGGATTTTTCTTTTTTCTTATTTTTTTTCTCTTTCTGGTGTATGAAACCCAATAGAACCTAATACTTTTTTTTTTAATGTTTGGTTTTGATTCACATAATTGTATCTATCTATTTATGAGATACAATGCCATGTTTTGATACATGTATACATTGTACATGGAACATAATATTCAACGTTACCTTCTCCTCAGTAACTCCTGGATGTGCGATCATAATCCACGGACATCAAGGGTATTATTGTTATTGTTATTATTTTGGTGGGAATCGAACCCAGGGCCTAGTACGTGCTGTACCTGCACTTTACTACGGAGCTATACCCCTAGCCCTCAAAATAGTATTAGCTCTCAGTATACATGAAACAAAAATTATCCTTCATGTCAAGTGTTAGGAACATATAAGACATTGGTTTGCAGTAGAATGATCCTGCTTTTTTTTAAGTCAAATTGAGATATGTACTTTTGTGTCATAATGTACCCCCAGTTCAACAATAATATCATAAAATTTTAAAATAAAAAATTAAGTCAAGCACATGAAAGCATAACTTAAATTAGATGGAAAGAATTAATGGGAGGCTGGGGAATGACTTGGCTCTGAACAATGACCAATTAAAGAAACTGTCAATAAATAAGGGAAATTGTCAATAAATGAGGAAAGAAACAAAGAGAAAGTCATTTCCAAGGAAAGAATATCCACAGGGTGAAGGAAAGCAAGAAAAAGAGAGAGAGATGCCAGAGAGGTATTTTTGCTTTCACCCTTTTTATTTTTAAATGATAGGTTCACAGGAAATTATGAAGAGAGCAGAGAGGTCTTGTGTACCTGCCACCCAGGTTCATCCATTGATAACATCTTATATCACTCTAGTGCAGTATCAAAGCTGGGAAACTGATGTCAATAGAAAGTGCAGACTTCTAAGTAATTCTCCCACCATGATCAAAATAGAGGACTAGTCCACCACAAGAAAGGCCTCCTTGGGTCTAATCCTTTATAGTAACACCCATCAACTTAAACTCAGGCAGCTGCTACTGTTTCCATTTTTACAATTTTGACATTTTAAGAATGTTACATAAGATGACTTATGCAGTATGTGACCTTTGAAATTGGCTTCTTTCATTCAGCGTGCCTTTGAGATCTATCACAGTTGTTCACATATTGATAGTTCATTCCTTTTTGGTTGATGAGTAGTATTCCATGGTATGGATGAACTACAATTTGTTTAAGCATTCACCTGCTGCAGAACACTGGTTGTTTCCTATTTGAGGATATTACAAATAACGATTGGAGCAATCACGTTCAGGTTTTTATGTAAGCATAAATTTTCATTTCTGTTAGATAAATGCTTCAAAATACAATTGCAAGGTCATGTGGTGCATGTATCCTTAGCTTTTTTTTTTTAAGAAATTTACGAACTGGGCCTGGGGTGGGTTTGGTGGGTGAAGCTCTGGAATGTGCTGAGCATGTGTGGAGCTCTGGACTCAATCCAGCAATACAAGAAGGACAAACAGATGAACTGCTAAACTATGTTCCAGAGTAGCTGGGTATGTACTGGTGACCCAGTTTCTTCATATCTTTCAAGTATTTGGTATTGTAACTATGTGTATTTTTGCTAAGAAAAAAAAATGTGTACTGAAAAGCAGACATGGTACTCAATGACTATAATCCAGCTCTCAGGAGGCTGAGGCACGAGGATCACACGTTCAATCAGCTTTACATAGGGAAATCTTTCAAAAACACCAAAATAAGTGAATGCATAAATAAAGTACAGTGATATGGCTTTAATTTTTGTTCCTTTAACAGCTAATGATGTTGAGTATCTTTCCGTGTTCTTAATTTCCATTTCTATGTTCTGTTCAGTTAAATATATCTTTGGTCCATTTTCAAATTGTATTATTGCTTTTGCTCCTTGTTACATTCTGAGAGTTCTTCATACATACCAGCCATTTATATATTTATATCTTGTCTTTTTCATTCTCTGAACAGGGTCTTTCCTAGAACAATATATATATTTTTTTATTTTGATAAATTCTAATTTACTCAATTTTGTTTTTTGTGGCACTGAGGTTTGAACTCAGGCCACTCTACCACTTGAGCCACTCTGCCAGCCCTAATTTACTCAATTTTTAAGTTTCTGGATTCTGCTTTTGGTATCTTATCTAAGAACTGTTCAACAACCCTATTCTCTGAAGATTTTCTCTTAAAGGTTTATTGTTTTACCTTTTACATTTAAGTCTCTGGTCCATTTTGAGTTAATTTTTCTGAGGTAAGTTTTTAGTTATTAAGGGGTAGGCTTAGGTCAAGGTTCAGGTTTTGGTTTGAGACTATCCAATTGTTCCAGCACTTTACATTGAAAAAACTATCCTTCCATGAATAGTTGTCTTTTGTTAAAAAGTCACTTAGCCTTACTTGTGTGTAACTTGGTTCTCTGTTTCAGAAGTATTTTAAGCCCAAGGGTGTTTTTGATATTTGGGTTGAATTTTCTATATCAAGGAATAACGTATGATGTGTCCCAATGTTCATGAAAGGCAATTTACTGTAGTGCTAATCCTAGTATCATTGACCAAACCTCAATCTCTACCTACCACTCCTCTGGTCCCCTTCTAAGGGTTTGGAATTCTCAGGGAACCATCCACTCCTTTTTGCCTTCCATGATCCAAGATCAGCATTGCCAGCAAGACACTATCATAGACTCTCTGCTTCTTCATCTTCTGCTGGATTCCCTCAGCCTCCTATACCTGAGGTCCTTCCTGATCTAACATGCAGAACACAGGTCTGACAAGGATTGGAAATAACTTGTATGTGCATTCATTTACTTACTGTCACAATTTACTTAGGTACAACTTCTACCATTAAATTTAATAAATGTTTGTGTCCAAATAATCATTAAATATTGTCTTATTTCAGTAGAAGTATTAAAATGTGGATTGGCTTTACTTTTTATTTATGTTTAATGCATGATGACCAGAATCTCCCTCTGAAGCTGTTCAGCATTGCTAAACACAACATAAGATGCTACTTTACTACCATTGAGTACTATTTAACCACATCCAGCTCTCAGTAGTTGACACAGCCTTGCTCTCTTTTTTTTTTTTTCAGTGCTATGGGTCATACCAAGGGTCTCAACCATGCACTCAACCATTGAATTACATTACAATCCCTTAGTTTTCTTATAAGAGATAGGATCTTTCTATATTGTCCAGGCTGACTTCCAACTCAGGATCCTCCTGCCTCAGCTTCCCAGGTAGTGACATAGCATTCTGTTCACTTAATGTCCTTCACTTCTTTTCCTGAATGATATTTGAGAAATGCTAATTTTAAGAGAATTTAACAGATGCTCTTGAAAAACAATTTCCTATTAATATATGCCTGAGTTGGGTATTCATATTATTCTTGCAGTGATTCATAATTCCTCTATTTCTTTTGCCCTCAGTCTCATTCTTTCAAATATATCCACTATTTGACTGTTTTCCATGCCTGTACTTGTACTACTCTGATCCAAGTCACTACCACTTCTTGCATGGGTTCTTGCAGTGGCCTCCCAAGAGCTTCCACATAACAATCAGAGATATTGAGACAGAAGTCAGATCATGCCATTCCTGTGTTCTAAACACAAGACTTCCCATCTCATCAAATAAAAGCCAAAGACCTGTCTATAACATTTAAAGCTCAGTACAGGGGGCTGTAACTCAGTGGTACAGTGCTTACTGAGCATGGGTGAGCCCTGAGTTCAATCCCTAGTACTATACCCCCCAAAAAAAGAAAAAAAGCACTTTAAAGGCTCTCTGATCTCATTTCCTACTTCTGTCCCTTTAGTGACTGCACTCTAGATCCACTGGGTCTTGGATGTTTCCACTTGTACTTGGTATTTTTATGCCTAGGATGTTGCTCCTGGGTCCAGAGTACTCTTCCCCTATTTGTCTCTCCTCCTCCTCTCTCCTCCTCCTCTCTCCTCCTCCTCTCTCCTCCTCCTCTCTCCCTCCTCCTCACTCCTCCTCCTCTCTCCTCCTCCTCTCTCTTCCTCCTCTCTCCTCCTCCTCTCTCCTCCTTCCTCCCACAGGTCCTTGTTCATGTACCACCTCCACAGATTACCTTTTCTTAACTGGTAGATCCCTGGCATTCTTGGGGCGGGTGGAAGGTCCTGAGGCTAGCACCGAAACCAGACCCCCTGATTTATGACCACTTGCTTCTCCCCTGCTTGTTTCCCTGCCTGATTGTTTCTCGGCTTGCAAAACACATCAGGAACTTCCAGTTACTCAACTAGCCAGGCATGTCGACTGTTCCATCTGGTGATCTCAGATCATCAGAGACCAGAGACTCTCTCCCTCCTCCATGGCTTGGCCCCTCCTATAAAGCCCACTGCTCATTTCAGCCAAGCTGCTTCACTCTGAACCCGAGAGTGACAGCCCTGTGGTCTGGTTCCAATAAACCTTTCTTTTCCACACATGGCACGGTCTTTATTCAGCAGTACCTTA